CACTCCAGCCTGAGAGACAGGGTGAGAATTCGTCTCAAAACAAAATACAAAACAAAAACCCTCTCTTGTAACTATATTCAGTAGCTATTCAGTACATTATCATTACCCTTGACATATATATTGTACTACATCTCAGAACTGGGCAATGATTTGAAAGCATTTTGCAAATGCAGAAATACAAAGTAGCTTTATGTGTAGGCTTTTTCAATGAAATACATTTATCCTTACTGTCTTCATTCTTCATAGAGAATGAGTGTTTGAAATGGAATAAGGCTGGGTGCCATGGCTCATGCCTGTAATTCCAGTAGTTTGGGAGGCCAAGGTGGGTGGATCACTTGAGGCCAGGAGTTCGAGACCAGCCTTGCCAACATGACAAAACCCTGTCTCTTCTAAAAATATAAAAATTAGCTGGGCATTGTGATGCATGCCTGTAATCTCAGTTACTCAGGAGGCTGAGGCACAAGAATCTCTTGAACCCAGGAGACGGTTACAGTGAGCCAAGACTGCCACTGCACTCCAGCCTGGGTGACAGAGTGAGACTCTGTCTGAGAAAAACGGAAAACAAGAAATGGAATGAGGAATGGAGTTTTATCTAAGGAATTTTTTTTTTTTTTTTTTTGAGATGGAGTTTCAGTCTTGTTACCCAGGCTGGAGTGCAATGGCGCGATCTTGGCTCACCGCAACCTCCGCCTCCTGGGTTCAGGCAATTCTCCTGCCTCAGCCTCCTGACTAGCTGGGATTACAGGCACGCGCCACCAAGCCCAGCTAATTTTTTGTATTTTTAGTAGAGACGGGGTTTCACTATGTTGACCAGGATGGTCTCGATCTCTCAACCTCGTGATCCACCCCCCTCGGCCTCCCAAAGTGCTAGGATTACAGGCTTGAGCCACCGTGCCCGGCCTTTTTTTTTTTTTTTTTTTTGAGACGGAGTTTCACTCTTGTTACCCGGGCTGGAGTGCAATGGCGCGATCTCGGCTCACCGCAACCTCTGCCTCCTGGGTTCAGGCAATTCTCCTGTCTCGGCCTCCTGAGTAGCTGGGATTACAGGCACACGCCACTATGCCCAGCTAATTTTTTTGTATTTTTTGTAGAGACGGGGTTTCACAATGTTGACCGGGATGGTCTCGATCTCTTGACCTCGTGATCCACCCACCTCGGCCTCCCAAAGTGGTGGGATTACAGGCTTGAGCCACCGCGCCCGGACAGGAAATTTCTTTTTCTTTTTTTTTTTTTTTTTGAGACGGAGTTTCGCTCTTGTTACCCAGGCTGGAGTGCAATGGCACGATCTCGGCTCACTGCAACCTCCGCCTCCTGGGTTCAGGCAATTCTCCTGCCTCAGCCTCCTGAGTAGCTGGGATTACAGGCACGAGCCACCATGCCCAGCTAATTTTTTGTATTTTTAGTAGAGACAGGGTTTCACCTTGTTGACCAGGATGGTCTCGATCTCCTGACCTCGTGATCCACCCGCCTCAGCCTCCCAAAGTGCTGGGATTACAGGCTTGAGCCACCGCACCCGGCTAGGAAATTTCTTATATGAGAAAATGATTAAGATTAATATTGAGGTTTTTCCAACATTAAGTTGGGTTCCAGATAATGATTACTGTTGTCTCTTTCTATTTTTTTATTTGACAAGTTATATGACAAGTTAAGTTTCTTAAAGTGAAAGGGAAGGACCTTTTTTTCATCACTAATATTTCCATGAATGCAGGAAGGTTGTTATTGGCTCATTAGGTTGATTGTAAGTCTTTACTGTTTTGTTTTGTTTTGTTTTTCTTCTTTTTTTTTTTTTTTTTTTTTTTGAGACGGAGTTTCGCTCTTGTTACCCAGGCTAGAGTGCAATGGCGCGATCTCGGCTCACTGCAACCTCCGCCTCCTGGGTTCAGGCAATTCTCCTGCCTCAGCCTCCTGAGTAGCTGGGATTATAGGCACACACCACCATGCCCAGCTAATTTTTTGTATTTTTAGTAGAGACGGGGTTTCACCATGTTGACCTGGTTGGTCTCGATCTCTCGACCTCGTGATCCACCCGCCTCGGCCTCCCAAAGTGCTGGGATTACAGGCTTGAGCCACCGCGCCCGGCTGTTTTTCTTCTTTATACTCATCAAGCACAGACCTACATTCTAGATTATAATTTAAAAGTCCTGATGAAAAGGAATACAAAACAAACTTTAAAAAATGTTAACTTTTTTCTCTCTCTTTCAGGTATATGGTACATTTACTGGAGTTGGCTGTGACTTTCATTGAGAGATTAGAAACCCACCTTGAAACAATTAGAAATATTCCTCATTTAGCTGAAAATCTAAAGAAAATGGTGAGTATTAATATAGCTGTCTTTAGTTATTTTATGCTAGAATCTCAGAGCGTGATTTTAGTTTAGCTTTTTGATAGCTAATATTATGAGCTAGTTTTTTGTTTGTTTGTTTTTTGAGACGGAGTCTCAAATGTAGCCAGATGTTAACTGGCATATGCCACCATGGATATGGCATATGCCAGTTAACATTTGGCTACATGTGCTGAAATAGAAGTTCTGTTGACTTGAGTAGTACAAATAGCATAAAAAGTGACCAAATTGGCTTCTCAAAGTCAGGAGAACTTGAAAGACAAAGTCTGCGGAACTTTTCAGATTAAAGGAGACCAAAGGGGCATGACTGCTAAAGCACTGTATGATCATGGATTCAATTTTTTTTTTTTAGTTGAATGGAGTGCAGTGGCATGATTGGCTCACTGCAACCTCCGCCTCCTGGGTTCAAGTAATTAGGAAAAAGTAGCTGGGATTACAGGTGCCTGCCACCACGCCCGGCTAATTTTTTAGTAGAGATGGGGTTTCATCATCTTGGCCAGGCTGATGTTGAACGCCTGACCTTGTGATCCACTCACTTCGGCCTCCCAAATTGCTGGGATTAAAGTTGGGAGCCACTGGATCTAGTTATTTTTTAAACCAAGGAGTGTTTTCTTGGCCGGAATGGTGGCTCACATCTGTAATCCCAGCACTTTGGGAGGCCAAGGCAGGTGGATCACCTAAGGTCAGGAGTTCGAGACTAGCCTAACCAACATGGCAAAACTCTGTCTCTACTGAAAATACAAAGATTAGCCAAGTATGGTGGTGCATGCCTGTAATCTGAGCTACTTGGGAGGCTGAGGAAGGAGAAATGCTGGAACTTGGGAGGCAGAGGTTGCAGTGAGCCAAGATCCTGCTACTGCAGTCCATCCTGGGCAAGATTCTGTCTCAGAAAAAAGAATAAAAAAAAGGAAGTGTTTTCTTATTTATTTATTCAGACCTTGGATTTAACATTTTCTTTTTTACAAAATTTTCCCATTTTTAATTCTTTTATTCCAATATTTAATAAGTATGTGTTACCTTCACTGTGCCATGACTATGCTATATATATTGTGAAAGATAGATGTGACCTATCCCTGCCTTCAAATTGTCAATGTTTGGTGAGACAGCTATAAAATATATATTTTCTACTTTATAGGATTGTATTTGCATAATAAATACAGCAAAGACTTATAAAGAAATGCTATCTATTGAGCATAGAAGAGGGAGGAATTACTTCCAATTTAGGAGGATTGGGAGTACAATGGGGTAGGAAGACTTAAAGATTTTTTGTTTTGTTTTTCTCTCTCTCTTTTTTTTTTTTTTTTAAGACGGGGTTTCACCATGTTGGTCAGGCTGGTCTTGAACTCCCGACCTCAGGTGATCCGCCCGCCTTGGCCTCCAAAGTGCTTGGATTACAGGCATGAGCCACCGCATCTAGCCTGTTTTGTTTTTGTCTTTGTTTCCAGGTCCCTTGGCATTTTGGTTGGTTTTGTTTTTTAAATAGAGACGAGTTCTATGTTGCCGAGGCTGATTTCTAACTCCTAAGCTCAAGTGAGGCACCCACCTCAGCCTCTAAAAGTGCTGAGATCACAAGCATAAGCCACCATGTACGGCTTCAATAAAGTTTTATTTTAGGTGTTAGCAGTAAGCCAATTTTTTTTTTTTTTTCCTGAGCTAACAGTTTTATTCTTGTTGCCCAGGCTGGAGTGCAGTGGCACAATCTCAGCTCACTGCAAACTCCTCCACTTGGGTTCAAGCGATTCTTCTGCCTCAGTCTCTCGAGTAGGTGGGATTACAGGTGCCTGCAACCACACCTGGCTAATATTTTGTAATTTTAGTGGAGACCGAAGTTTCACCACTTTGGCCAGGCTGGTCTCCAACTCCTGATGTCAGGTGATCCACCTACCTCGGCCTCCCAAAGCGCTTGGTTTACAGGTGTGAGCCACTGTGCCCAGCCAGCGTAAGCTGAATCTTAAAGAATAGGTGAAATTCAGACATGAGTCAGAAAGAATAGTTTGGCCAAAAGGAGCAATTGGGGAAAGACATATAAGTCAAAGAACCCAGGTAGTATGGGGGTAAAGTGATACTCCACTTTGGCTGATGCCTAAAGGTATGAAGAAAATTAGCTCAGGGTTGGTTTATGGAGTGACTTAAAAACCAGACTTTACTGAGTATTGGGGAGCCATGGCGGGGGGAGGGGGGAGGGAGAAAGAGAGAGAGGGAGGGAGAGAGAGAGGGAGGGAGGGAGGGAGGGAGGGAGGGAGGGAGGGAGGGAGGGAGAGAGAGAGACGGGGCGGGGGGAGAGAGAGAGAGAGAGAGAGGAAATTGTTTTCGTTTTTTAGCAAAGGGTGCAGAGGAGTTACTTGATTAGAACTGTGCCTTAATCGTGGAGAAAGTATTTGAAAGAGTAGTCCGAGCCTTGCTACTCTTTAAGTATGGGCAGAGAGTATTAGTATCACCTGCAAGCTTGTTAGAACTACAGAACTGCAGACATCATTCACCCTAGGCCTTCAGAGTCAGAATCTATGGTTTAACAAGTTCCTCAGGTGATTCCTGTGCACATTAAAAGTTAATCAGCTCTGCGTTAGAAGACTAGGCGGAGAAACCAAAGGCAGAGAAACCTGGAGACTAATTACAGTGATTCAGTTAAAAGGTGTAAAGTATAAGAATACAGAAGATAAGCTTTGCACAGTGGCAGTATCATAGCCAATGAGGTTTATCCAAGGCGCGATTATTGCTAATTGAAAACTTTTCCCAATACCCCACCGTGACAACTTGCATATTGCCAGTCAGCACTAGCAATTTTTGACTGTCTATACGGAGACTGATTAAGAAAAAAAAAGAATACAGAAGATAAATTGTTTAGAATTTGGAGGTTAAATTTTTAGAACTTGGCTATGAGTTGGACAAGGGACACATTAAAGGTAATGAAGATTCTAGTCTGGGTGACTTGAAGTTGAGTAGGATTAGTGTGGGTTAAAGAAGTTACTAAGTTTATTTTTTGACACATCTTGCATATGTAGTAAATGGTCAATCATTGTTGAACTGTAGTTAATTGAGTTTGAATTGTTGAAGGTACATCCGGATGGAGATTACCAGTAGTCTTAAATGTGGTCCTGAATTTTAGGAAGGAGATTGCGTTTAGCAGTGTAAATTGAGAGTCATCTGCATTGAGTGATTATTGATGACAGAAGAGGTGAACTTACAAAGAGTAGGTTTGTACTGTAAGAAGTGGGAAAATACAATTTTAAGGAGCTTTTCAAGTAAGGGGCTCGGCCGGGTGTGGTGGCTCAAGCCTGTAATCCCAGCACTTTGGGAGGCCGAGGCGGGTGGATCACGAGGTCAAGACCATCCTGGTCAACATGGTGAAACCCCGTCTCTACTAAAAATACAAAAAAATTAGCTGGGCATGGTGGACCGTGCTTGTAATCCCAGCTACTCATGAGGCTGAGGGAGGAGAATTGCCTGAACCCAGGAGGCGGAGGTTGCAGTGAGCTGAGATCGTGCCATTGCATTCCAGCCTGGGTAACAAGAGCAAAACTCCGCCTCAAAAAAAAGAAAGAAAGAAAAAAAAAATAAGTAAGGGACTGGAAAAAGATAAGGTTTTAACCTTTGGTATCAATTATTCATGACATAATGATTTAATAACAGACATAATTTCTCCCATTTCCCTTTTCAAATTTTCAGAGCAAGGCTTTAGCAAAGATGGATATTTTGGTGACTGAGACAGAAGAATTGGCAGAGAATATACTCGAGTGGCGTAAACAACAAAAGGAAGTTTGCTCTTTTATCCCCAAAATATTAGCTGAAGAAAATTATCTTTATAAACATGATATAATGCCTCCTTTACTTTTTACTTCTAAAGTTCATGTCCAAAGTCTTAATGCCAAGTAATCATCAACTTCATTTTTGCTTAATTATGTGTAGTCATATGAAGTCTATTTCGAATTGACTGTATAACATAGTTATTAATAGTCTTTGCTGCTAGTTATACTGAAAGAACCTGCTTTATATTAGAGTATCAAGATCTCAGGTTCATTAAGACCAAACTGACTTTTCCTTTGTTTTTCATATATTTTCATTCTACTTTTTAGTAAAACTAGAGAAGATTAAAAAATAGCCATGACAATTTATTAACATAAGTGAATTAACCATTTCTCAGGCAGAAAATTCTCTATTATGTCTTTTTTAAAAAATGTGTATTTATAGCAGGGTGTGATGGCTCACACCTGCAATCCTAATAAGTTGGGAGACTGAGGTGGACAGACGGCTTGAACCCTGGAATTCAAGTCCAACCGGGGGAACATGGTGAAATCCCATATCTACAAAATATACAAAAAAATTTGCCGAGCGTGGTGGTACATGCCAGTAGTCCCAGCTATTCTGGAGGCTGAGGTAGGAGGATCACCTAAGCCTGGAAGTTCATGGTTGCAATGAGAATGATCACACCACTACAGTATAGCCTGGGTAACACAGAAAGACCCCCATCTCAAAAAAAAAAAAAAAAAAAATGTGTTTCTGGTCAGGGTCAGTGGCTTACACCTGTAATCCCAGCACTTAGGGAGGCCAAGGTGGGTGGATCACCTGAGGTCAGGAGTTTGAGATCAGCCTGGCCAACATGGTGAAACACCATCTCTACTAAAAATACAAAAATTAGGCCAGGAGTGGTGGCTCACGCTTATAATCCCGGCACTTTGGGAGGCCAACCCAGGTGGGTGGATCACCTGAGGTCAGGAGTTCGAGACCAACCTGGACAACATGGTGAAACCCTGTCTACTAAAAATACAAAAAAATTAGCCAGGGATGGTGGTGGATGCCTGTAATCCCAGCTACTTTGGAGGCTGAGGCAGAAGAATTGCTTGAATCTGGGAGACAAAGGTTGCAGTGAGCTGAGGTGGCACCCCTGCACTCCAGCCTCGGCAACAGAGCAAGACTTAGTCTTCAAAAAAATTAAAAATTAATACAAAACACAAGAATTACCTGGGCATGGTGGCATGCACCTGCAATCTCAGCTACTCAGGAGGCTGAGGCAGGAAAATCACTTGAACCTGGGTGATGAAGATTTCAGTGAGCCCAGATTGCACCACTGCACTCCAGCGTGGACAACAAAGCAAGACTCTGTCTCAAAAAACAAAAAACAGGTGTTTCTGAATTCGAATGGTCTTTTTAAATCTAAAAATGTCTATGGTGATTGTTCCTGTGGGAGTGTTACTAAGTATGCAGAAAAGACTAACAGCCAGCCTGACTTATCCTTTGAAAGACCTGATTGATTATAAGGTTCATCCTTGGCTGTTGCATCTGGGAACTTAGATATCAAAAGGTGTCTTAGTCTGTTCTGCTCTCATAACAGAATTACACAGACTAGGTAGTTTATAATGAACAGAAGTTTATTTGGTTCATGGGTGTGCACACAAGGCAGTCCAAGAACATGGTACCAGCATCTAGCACGGGTCTTGCCATGACAGAAGGCATCACATGGCAAGTGAGCACGAGAAAGATATATGGGGCTAAACTTAGCCTTTTATCCTGAGCCCACTCCTGAGATAGCAACACTAATTCATTAATGACAGCCAAGCCCTCCTTACCTAATCATCTTTTAAAGGTCTCTTCTCAACACTTTTACAATGTCAATTTAATTTCCAGCACTTAAAGTTTGGGGGACATATTTAAACCTTAACAGGGAAGTTCCACTCACTAAAAAGAGTGGCTCATGGTAGCTAAGCTGTTCGTACAATGTGGTTTGTGCTGAACACCTGCTTTCCTCCTGGGAGTCTACAATTTTGGTTCATGGTAGGTAGAAGGTACCTAAGTGACCAGCCCACAGTAAAAACCCTGGGCACTCTCTCTAACAAGCTTCCCTGGTAAACAACATTTCTTACATGTTGTCACAATTCAGTTGCTGGTGAAATAAAACAACACATATGTGTGACTCCACTGTTAGAGGACTCTGGGAGCTTGTGCCTGGTTTCCCCCAGACTTTGCCTCTCTACCTTTTCTCTTTCCTGTTTCACTTCATATGCTTTTGCTGTAATAAATCATAGCTGCATGATGATATGCTGAGTCCTGTGAATTCTACCTGGAAATCATGGGATCTGGAGGTAGTCTTGGAGATCCTGGCACACTAAGCAGAGTTCCTGAGTGTTTACTGGCAGCTGCAGGAATAGGCCAAGAAGAAACAGCAAAGAAAAAGGCACATTGTGGTAACTTTGGAGGTTTACCTTACAAAATGCTCAGATATTTTACCTAGCTGAGGTTATTGTGCATATAATAGAGAGTGATATACTAACAACTGCCTCAGGATATACTCATTTTTTATCAGTATTGTAAGTATCCCTGGCTTATTTTACTTTTAGACTTGGGGTTCTGTTTTGCTTTAAAACGTGTACATCAGTTTTGTTTTTGGGTTTTTTTCTTTTCTTTTTTCTAAGACAGTATCTTACCTGTCACCCAGACTACTGGAGTGTGGTATGGCCTGATCTCGGCTCACTGCAGCCTCGACCTCTCAGGCTCAAGTGATCCTTCCACCGCAGCTTCCCGAGTAGCTTGGACTATGGGCACGTGCCATCATGCCTGGCTGATTTTTGTATTTTCTGTAGAGATGGGGTTTTGCCATGTTGTCAAGGCTGGTCTCAAACTCCTGGTTTCAAACAATCCTCCCACCCCAGCCTCCCAAAGTGCTCCCTCATTACACTCCTTGACACAAGAAGACTTCAACAATGATGAGTAAAGTGGTTGTTTATAAGGAAGCAAGTGGATTACCAAAATAAATCCTGCTAAAACACCAGGTATCATGTTTTAAAGCCTACTTTGCTAATTTTACCTAATAGGATAAGAGTGGTCGTAATATTGTGAACATTACATAGACACTTAGGCAAAGCCTTTGGTTGTATTTCATCAAAAACCTGTTTATACCCCACTTTCATTTCAAAACATCTTACTATGCTTTTTCTTCATGTTATTTCCTATATTCATGTGTGTGTGTGTGTATATCACAAATACTGATATGCCTGGTTATTTTTATTTTCTATTATATCTTTTTCAAAATGTAAAAATAAACCTGTAATTTCTAACTAAAATTTTATAGCCCTAGTCTGAATCTAAAGTGATAGAATGGACTGATGCACTCTGTAGCTTATACAGTATAGGCATACAGGCAATCTGAATCAAAAGAGCTTGAGGTAAGTTAAGCCTGAGGTCTACTTCAAAGGAAAAAGTTAATTTAATACTCTTCCAGAGTCAATCAGTGCTGATTAATTTATCTTTAATTATTCAACTTTTAGATGGGTAGATACTAAAAACAAAAAATTAGCTTTGCGTGTCTTTTTTTTTTTTTTTTTTTGAGGTGGTTTTGCTCTTACTCAGGCTGGAGTGCAGTGGCACAATCACAGCTCACTGCATTCTCAACCTCCTGGGCTCAGTAGATCCCTACATCTCAGCCTCCCAAGTAGCTGGGAATACAACTGTGCCCCACCACACCCAGCTAATTAAAAATTTTTTTTGTAGAGATGGGGGTCTTGCCATGTTGCCCAGGCTGGTCTTGAACTCCTGGGTTCAAGTGATCTTAGCCTCCCAAAGTGCTGGGATTATGCAAGTGCCTCTTGCATCCAGCCTACTTACACTAGGAGAGGTGTGTGAAATTTGAAAATTTACTGCCAGCATAATAGTGATGCTTGTGAAGACCATTCTGGAGGAATTGAGATGCTGCTAGTCTTCCTAGCATTTCTCTTATTTTATTTCTTTCTCTATGTGACTCTACCAGTCTGGCCCCTATTATATCCTCTGAAACCTTCAATGAAGTCAGGAGGATGGTCTCAGGAATAGCAGAACCTAAAAGATTTCTTTTTTTTTCTTTTTCCCGAGACGGAGTTTTGTTCTAGTTACCCAGACTGGAGTGCAATGGCGCGATCTTGGCTCACTGCAACCTCTGCCTCCTGGGTTCAAACAATTCTCCTGCCTCAGCCTCCCGAGTAGCTGGGATTACAGGCACACGCCACCATGCCCAGCTAATTTTTGTATTTTTAGTAGAGATGGGGTTTCACCTTGTTGACCAGGATGGTCTCGATTTCTTAACCTCATGATCCACCCGCCTCGGCCTCCCAAAGTGCTGGGATTATAGGCGTGAGCCACCGTGCCGGGTCTTAAAAGATTTCTTGACATGCAAAATCTATAATAGAGTTGAGATTTTAATAAGACCGTCATTAGTGTATTGTGGGATTTCTTCAAATATCGGTAAAACATATGAATTTACATAAAAGATTTATCCCACAGTTTGGGGAATCCTCTAGTTGAGTTTACTGAAAAAATTATACGTTTGACTCTTGAGCAACATAAGTTTGAAGTGCACAGGAATATGCAATTTTTTTTCAATAAATGTATTGGAAATTTGGAGCTTTGTGACTTGAAAAATTCACAGATGAACTGTGTGGCCTACAGATATCAAAAAAATTAAAAGGTATGAATTCATAAAATATATGTATTAGTCTATTTTATCATTTACTACCACAAAATACACAAATCTATTAAAAGTTAAATTTTCTCAAGCCTGTAATCCCAGCACTTTGGGAGGCCGAGGCGGGTGGATCACGAGGTCGAAAGATCGAGACCATCCTGGTCAACATGGTGAAACCCCGTCTCTACTAAAAATACAAAAAACTAGCTGGGCGTGGTGGCGCGTGCCTGTAATCCCAGCTACTTAGGAGGCTGAGGCAGGAGAATTGCCTGAGCCCAGGAGGCGGAGGTTGCGGTGAGCCGAGATCGCGCCATTGCACTCCAGCCTGGGTAACAAGAGCGAAACTCCGTCTCAAAAAAAAAAAAAAAAAAAAAAAAAGTTAAATTTTATGAAAACATACAGACTACATGTAAACAAATTAAAAATTCAGTATGAAAGCATAACTATAAAGTTAACTAGTACATACTGTACTACTGTAATAATTTTGTAATTGCCTCCTGTTGCTGTTTTAGTGAGTCAAGTGTTGCCAGTATCTGCTTAAAACCCTGTGATGCTAATCATCCCAGCAGTTCCTTTCTTCAGTAAACTGTATCACAATAAAAAGTGATCTCTTGAGGTTCTCAAGTGTTTTTCACCATATTCCGTGCAATACTGTAAGCCTTGAATAATATCAGGGGACCAGTACAAAGTGCCATATGTGATGCTGCATGTGCTCCCAAGAAGCAGAGAAAAGTCATGACATTACAAGAAAAAGTTGAATTGCTTGATAAGTACTGTAGATTGAGGTCTGCAGCTGTGGTTGCATGCATTACAAGATAAATGAATTCATTGTAAGGCCCATTGTAAAAGAAATGGTCATGGAGAAACCTTGACTCTAGTGAAAATACAAAAGTTAGCCAGACGTGGCGGCATGCACTTGTAATTCCAGCTACTCGGAGGCTAAGGGAGGAGAATCACTTGAACCCGGGAGACGGAGCCCAGATTGTGCCACTGTACTAAAGCCTGGAAGACAGATCCCATCTAAAAATAAAATAAAAGGCAGTCCCTTTGGACAAAGCATAGATGGAACCAATCCAGAAAAAAAAGTTGTGCAGCCACTACCACAGCTACACCAGCAGGCACAAAAACCGTGCACTTTTTGTGAAATATGTTGTTAATAGTTAAATTTTTTTTTTTTTTTTTTTTTTTTTTTTTTTTTTTGAGACGGAGTTTCACTCGTTACCCAGGCTGGAGTGCAATGGCGCGATCTCGGCTCACCACAACCTCCCCCTCCTGGGTTCAGGCAATTCTCCTGCCTCAGCCTCCCGAGTAGCTGGGATTACAGGCACGCGCCACCATGCCCAGCTAATTTTTTGTATTTTTAGTAGAGACGGGGTTTCACCATGTTGACCAGGATGGTCTCGATCTCTTGACCTCGTGATCCACCCGCCTCGGCCTCCCAAAGTGCTGGGATTACAGGCTTGAGCCACCGCGCCCGGCCTAATAGTTTAATTTTTGTAGAGACAAGGTCTTACCATTTTGTCCAGGCTGGTCTCAAACTACTGGGCTCAAGCAATCCTCCTACCCCAGCTTCCCAAAGTGCTGGGATTACAGGTGTGAGCCACTGTGCCTGGCCCTGAAATATCTTTTTATATTGTATTGAAAATGCAGCTTTTGGCCAGGCACGGTGGCTCATGCCTGTAATCCCAAAACTTTGGGAGGCCAAGGTGGGTAGATCACCTGAGATCAGGAGATCAAGACCAGCCTAGCCAACATGGTGAAATCCCGTCTCTATTAAAAATATAAAAATTAGCTGGGCATCACCGTGCACACCTGTAATCTGAGCTACTCGGGAGGCTCCAGGCAGAAGAATTGCTTGAACCTAGGAGGCAGAGATTGCAGTGAGCCGAGATCTGTCCACTGCACTCCAGCCTGGGCAATAGAGCAAGACTTTCGGACCTTAACCAAAACTTAACTGATTTACTTGACTCTACATAGGACGGACACCGACTCGAAGAACAAAAACTATTTTTGGGTAAGCGGGGCCTGGAACAACAGATTTGGCACTGCGTCTTCGCTGCCCCATCTGTCTCAGGATTGGCTGACGCTGTGCGGGCACTGCGGGGACCCGCACGCCACGCGCATGGGCGGGGGCGTCCCGGGAGGCTAAGGGGCGGGGCGGAGCGAGGCGGGGCGAGCCCGGGCGTCCTCCCGCCCACCGACTGGCAGAGGCTGGGCTGGCACCACCCGGTTCGGGCTGCAGCGCGTGCTTGGGCGGGGGCGATCCGGGAAGACTTCGGGTGGAGCGAGGCGGGGCGAGCCCAGGCGTCCTCCTGCCCACCAGGCTAAGGACTGGCTGAGACTCAGTAGGAACCGCCCCGCTCGGGCTGCGGCGCTTGCTTGGGAGGCCAGTCGGCAGGCTTTAAGGAAGATTGAGGGGAGGCGGGGCCGGGAGTTCTCCCGCCCACTGGGCTCAGAATTGGCCGAGGCTCGACAGGCACCGCCCCGCTCGGGCTGCAGCTCGCTTCTGGGCGGGGGCGTCCCCAGAGGCGCGTGGGGCAGGCGGGCGGGCCGGCCGGCGGAGCGGGATTGGGGCTGTGCCTGGGTTTGGGGCGGGGGCCGGGGATGCAGCCGCTGAGCTGAGCTGCCAGACTTGGGTTGTGGCACACAGATGGCGAACGTGCGGGTCGCCGTGAGGGTCCGGCCCCTCAGCAAGAGGTAAGTTTGGGCGGGAGGGTGCTCCTGAGGCTTCACAAGAGCTGAGACGAGCGCGAAATCCGCGCCTCCGGCTCCAGAGATTGTGGCGGGAGAAATCGGTCACAAAGTGACCCGGGGGTCGGGGTCCGGAACCCTCGGATGCCTGGCTGGACGGCGCCTCCGTCGAGCTTTCGCGTCGTGCCCTGGGGATAGCGGTTCCCGGACGGCTGCGGAAGGGCTGCCCCGGGTGAGCGTCGCTGGCGTCCTGCCAGCAAGAGTTTCGAGGGACTGTGGCTCTAGGCTTGCTGCATCGGGTTGGGCCTTCTAGAAAGGCTGGGAGAGGGATGGGCATTCTCCTCTCTCTTCTTGGGGGGTCGGGAATGGTGTGTGAATGGTGTGTGTTCCTGGGTGCGCATGGGTTTCTCTGCGAAGGGGTGGAGAAAGTAGAAAGTGCGGGCATAAGGGGAAATTGAGGCCCACAGATGTAGCAGTTTTATTCCATGCTCGACAGCTGACGATCCAGGACGGAACTGTGAAGTAGGGGAAGTTGTTCCAAGCCCTTCCTTCTCTCAGAGTTCGCAGTGACCGTTTCCTCCTGGCTTATTCTGATCCCGCACCTCTCTTGTCAGCCCTTGAGACATCCAGTGTCTGGCCACCAACTGTTTCTCTTTGTCACCAGATGAAGTGTTTTTTAAAGATCAATTAGAGTTCGTTGACAGGTGGAGAAAGTGTAAAGAGCCATCTATGTAGTAAGACCACCAAGAGCAAAGAACTTAGACTATTAGGGACTAGAGCTTAAGTTTTAGTGGAGAGGGGGTGGTTGGTGTGGAGGGAAGTGAGGTGGTGGGAGGTAAATCTGGCAGAATGTGCTTTGGGAACAGAAGGCACATGTTGGAATTATTTGGAAAGTTAAAAAATCAGGATGTAAGAAGGCTTGATAATTGGGCAGAAGGAGCATTTTTGTGGCAGAAAACAGAGCAAAGTTCTGCAGACATCCATTTTCTCTTCTTTCTAAAATGTATCACAAACAGGGTCTTTTCATAGTTCAAAACAAACAGGTTTCTTTCTTGGCCAAATGGCCTGTTACTCTCACCCTGGGATCTGATTTCTTAATAAGAAGGTTCAGGGCACCAAATCCAACCAGAAATTTCCAGGACACCAGTGACTACTTAACTATAACTATGAGGGGATGGATGCTTTAGTCATTCCATGAGGGGAGTTATTCTCCCAGAATTATGCTGGTCAATAGCCCCAGGAGAGGTAGGTGGTAAGGAGGGTGAATGCAAAAGCTAAAGGGTCAGAGAAAAGAATAAGGCTTTCATGAACAACCCATAGCAAGGCAGAATGTTCCAATGAGGAGGTAGATTCAGAGTAGAATAGGAAAGGCAAGAAAACTGGGAGGAACACATATTTAAGCCCATGCTTATCTATTCCAGCAGCCAAACAAAGCAAATCCACAAAGGAAAAAAATGCTGTTCTTTTCTAAGAACATTCTGAAAATTATCTTCAAACTTATAAGAAACTGCTATCTGAGAACAACTATCACAATGCTCACTGGACTTATTTAAAAATAACTACTGAGACTGGGTACTCAAATGGGTCAATGCTCTTCAAAGGTTAATCTTTCGCATTATCTAACAGAATACTATGATCAGGCCTTACCCACCAGTGGAAGCTGAAGTGTGTCTATTACTTGGTATGGACCTGCTCTAGGACCAGACAAAATCACTTTGCTTCCCTGAAGTACAAGAGGACTTTGCTAGCAACAAGATGCAAGCAGGGAGGAATGGCAGAAGAAGAGCAAAACTGGTTACCAAGGGTTCTCTTCTGATGTACAGAGTTAAAAATATCTGCACAAATGTGCTAACCAAAAGAATGGGAAGATGGACTGTAATACCAAAGACAGAAAACTTCTCCAGAGGAAAGAGGGAAAGTGGACCTCAAAACAGTGTTACAGGGTAATGCTACCAGAGTCACAAACTGTGCTCTGTTCCAAGGGACAAATCCCTCAAGGTAATAGGGAAAGCAGCTCTCTTTTTATCATTTACCCTTGCTGGTTTTAAAGACCTCAAGCCCAGACTCTTGCAACACTGAACCACAGGTGGGATGCAGGGAGGAGAGACAGAGGATAAGGAACATGAATGGTGTTAGGCCCCCGAAGCCTATGTATCCCTTCCCCAGAATTCCCAACCAGGCAGTTGTTGGTAGGTTAATACTTGATTTGGGACAAAACTGTGGGGTGTGAGGATAGCGCCCAATAAAAAAAAACAACTAGGAAAGCTGGAGTTTAACCGTTTTCCTCTAAGGGCTGCTTAGCTCTACAGAAATACACGATGGGCCTTTGATCTAACCAGTTTAACTGGGAAGGAGAACAGGAGTCAGCGTGAAGTGGTCAGATGAAGCTCATCTTCTCATCCTTTGGCACCCAGAGGAAAAGGGGGAGGTGGAGACTGTAATGGGGACTGCTGGTATTGCCTCTTCCATCTTTTCACTGTTGGGCCTATTGGCCAAATCAGGTGCACACGGGTATCAGTGTTGCTGCTTTTCTTCTAATGCTTGCAGAGTGTGTGGTGTCAATCTCTAACTGAGCATCATCCCCAACTGCATGTTTCCTGTCATGATTGTTCAAGTTCAAATTGTTTACTTCTACTTTGGAGTCTTCAATTAAGGTACCAGGGCTAGTGACTCCTGGGATATTGGGCGGATGTCAGGGTGGGGTCGGAGCCACGGGAGAATTGCGATGATCCAACAGAAACTTTGCTATAACTGATTCTGGAGGGTCGCCCCTGGCGTGGTGCAATAGTTATGAGGTAGCTGCGCGGCGTCGCCGATGGCCACGGTGCAGGTGGGGATGGCCCGGCTGTGGCTGGTGGCCACTGCCGGCGGACGAGGACATGGCTGTGGGCGCGGACTCTCGGCTTTGTCCCGCGGGAAGGCAGCGGCGCCGGCTGCTCAGGCTCCTCAGGCAGGCGGAAAAGCGCGCTTCTTGCTGGCTTCCTCTGGTTCCCTCGTTCCGCTCCGCTCTCACCCCCACCCCTACCCCCATCCTCTGGCCTCGGCCAGCATTCTCCGCAGCGACAGCAGAGGCCAGGACGAAGAACGGAAGCTTTTTGTTGTTGTTTTTTAACTCTGTGAAATAGGGATAACTACTTCAGTGGTTTTTATGAACATTCTACAAAAAAATACATTACAACAATTTTTAATTCTCAGAACCCTGTGCTTGGCTGCCTGGTTTTTAAAAGATTTATAAGACTCCAGGCACCGTGGCTTATGCCTGTAATCCCAGTACTTGAGGAGACTGAGGTAAGGAGAATCACATGAACCCAGGAGTTCAATACCAACCTGTCTCAACAAAAAAATAAAAAATAAAAATTAGCTGGGCATGGTGGCACGTGCTTGTAATCCTGGCCACTTGGGAGGTTGAGGTGGAAGAATTGTTGAAGCCCTGAAGATTGAGGCTGCAGTGGGCTGTGATTGCACCGCTGCACTCTAGCCTGGGCAACAGAGTGAGATCCTGTCTCTGAATAAATCAATGAACAAAATTAAATCTAAAGACACCTGTCTCAATGTGCTTCTCCTATCCCCAGTTGTCTAGGTCACAGCCTAAGAAGCCTGAGGAAACATAAAATAAGACTGAAGGTACTGTCTCAATTTACAGGTTCTAGGTTGGGAGTAATTTAATTGATAACTTTCATTGTAGTGGAGGATGTGCTAATTAATTTAATTCTCATCTGTTAACATTTTGGTCATGGGTACTGTGGTTGTGTGGTTATTTATATTATGAAAAAAGATCAGGTACTGGGTCATCTGGATTAAGCCCGTTAAACTGAGTGCAGAGATTATTTAGTGGTTAGCAGTATTACCATATACCTGAAACATGGAAGATTCTTGAGGATCTCGGCTTTCCTTCTGATTTAAGAAGATGTAAGGAAAGGACTTGAGAAATATATTCTCAGGGTCTCAGCAGAGAGGACTCCGATCCTTTTTTTTTTTTTTTTTTTTTTTTTGGTCCATATCCATGCTCAAAATCCTAGAGAAAATGAGAGATGATGCCATGTTACATGCTGGGCCAAGGATGCTCTCTAGAGTTTCGTTTCTTCTGAGAGGTGAGATCTTGCGCGCTCAGGCTGGGGTGCGGTGGCGTGATCATAGCTTGCTGCAGCCTTGAACTCCTGTACTCAAGCAGTCTTCCTGCCTCTCAGTCTTGCAAGTAGTTGGGATTATATGTGTGAGCCACTGCTCCCAGCACTCTCTAGGGTTTCTAACCCTGAATTCTAAGATATTATTCAGGGCCTAGGCTTTGTGTTTAGACAAATATTAGTTTAAATCCTAGCTCTACCACTGATAGCTCTGTGACCTTGGACAAGTTACATAATTTCCTTCAGCTTTAGTTCTTCATCTGTAAAAATGTTAGGAATCTATGTCAGGAGGGTATGTAGGGGGACAGCATAAGATGAAGAACTATTTGTTTAGTACCCTCTATGTGTGAGGCACTGTATTAGGTAGTGCACCTAACACAGTGCCTCACACACAGAGGGTACTAAATAAATAGTGAATACGAGCTGTTCCAGAGCTAAACTGTAAAGATCCAGGGAAGCTATGCCAACTGACTGCTTGACATGATGCTTATAGCTGTTTATGAAGACAGACACTTCTCTTAAGGGCACAGAGGTAGGGAAATATTTTGTCCCACTAGCATTGGTTTCAGCTTCTTTTTTCTTAATTTTTTTTTTAAAGCAATATTTCTTCTGAGTTTGGGTCTTGTTTCTAGGGAGACCAAAGAAGGGGGAAGAATTATTGTGGAAGTCGATGGCAAAGTGGCAAAAATCAGGAATTTAAAGGTAAGCCCGAAATTGTTTTTCATTTTCTTTCCTCTTAGAAACTAATATTTTTAAAGGGGCTTCCAGGCTGAAGGTGTTTATGTGAATGTATTTAGAACTGGGGAGGAAAGGGCATATAAGGGGAATAGTAGGAAGAGCTTACCCCAGTCATAAACCAAATTAAGAAATGAACCAAGAAAGAAGTGCAGGGCATTTGGCTGCTTCAGCCTAAGTTTTATCATATAGAATGCAACTGTTTTAGAAATTAGTTGGCAGATGTTTTCAAAGTAAACTCCGGGGATGTTTTGGGGGCAATAGTTAACTTAAATTGTACTGCAGAATGATTAAGAATACCTTAAATTCTATTTAACTCACCTGACCACCAGTTAAACTTTGTCCTAACCCTTTCAGTTGATATCACTTTATCTAAAGGCATTATTAGGGATTTTAGTTTGCACCTGATACTGCAGGGTTGATTTTAGCTATACTGAGATTCAAGTAACATCTTTCAGATCCCAGAAGGGAGTTGGTTGCTAGCCTGGATTTTGTTACAAAGTCTCTTTCACAGATTTGACTGAACTTTGAGTCATAATTGGACAGACACTGGGAACTTCCTTGCATACCCCTCACTCTCCCTTAGGGCTAATTTTCTCCATCCTGTTCCTCTACTTACTAGGCAAGCAGAAGATGGAAGGGTTTCTTCCTTTCTGGGCCTTGGGGAGTGGGGAGAGAGACAGGGGAAGCTGACCATGTGACTACTGCTATAGTCAGCTTGCAGGTAGTACTTGGCATTCCTGAGAGCTGAGGAAACTGGCAAAAGTAAGAGTTACTTGGACCCTAGTCTTCACAGCCGTGCCAGCTCTGTTGGTACTCCTGTGATGTGATCTGTTTCCTCTTGTCAGTAGTTCTCTGCTAAAAAGGAATGGGACCTACCAGACGTTCAACAGGGCTCCCCAGGGACAAAGGACCTTTTATTCTCTGCTCTTATTTATATCTCTGTTGCCTAATCACTTCACCTGCTTTGCTCTAAGATCTCATGTTTTTGGTTCTTAAGAATAAGTCTCAGCCAAGATCAAACTGTAGTCTGCTTTCTGCACACCTCCCTGGCTGCTTACTACCCTGAGGTCAGTTATCCACAAAGAATCTCTTAATAATTCTGGCAGTCTCATTCTTCTGTAGTTTATGATGGCTAGTGGCAGGATTGTCTTTCCTTCCCTGTCCAGAGTGTATAAGATAAGGCATTTCTATGAATAATGCCATCCTCCCCCGTACCTGGAGATCAGTGCAAGACCAAGCTCTGACTCTATTCTCATCTACCTTGAGCAGCTAGATCACTTCTGGCTCTTCTGTTGGACTTGTTATCTAATTAGGGGTTGAATATTCCAAGAACCTCAGTGAAAGCCCCATGTTGATGGAGCCTGTCAGGCACCGTAGCTAAACTACTCATGCACTCCCAGCATCCTCTGCAGAAATACTTAGAAAAGAAATAATGTAGGTTGAGCATCCTAATTTGAAAATCTGAAATCTGAAATCCTTCGAAATCTGAAGCTTTAGCCGGGCGCCGTGGCTCAAGCCTGTAATCCCAGCACTTTGGGAGGCCGAGGCGGGTGGATCACGAGGTCGAGAGATCGAGACCATCCTGGTCAACATGGTGAAACCCCGTCTCTACTAAAAATACAAAAAACATTAGCTGGGCATGGTGTGTGCCTGTAATCCCAGCTACTCAGGAGGCTGAGGCAGGAGAATTGCTTGAACCCAGGAGGTGGAGGTTGCGGTGAGCCGAGATCGTGCCATGGCACTCCAGCCTGGGTAACAAGAGAAACTCCGTCTCAAAAAAAAAAAAAAAAAAATAGAAATCTGAAGCTTTTTGAATGACACCATGGGTGGAAAGTTTCACAGCTGGCTTCATGTGGTGGATTGCAGCCAAAACTATTTCATGCACAAAATTATTAAAAATATTGTATAAAATTACCTTCAAGTTATGTGTGTAAAGTGTATATGAAACACAAAAGAATTTCATGTTTAGACTTGGATGCATCCCCAAGATATCTCATTATGTATATGTAAATATTCCACAATTTAAAAAAATCTGAAATCTGAAAAAATCCTAAACACTTCTGGTTCCAAGCATTTCAAAGAAAGGATATTCAACCTGTAGCGATAAGAAGATACCCAGAGAGGAGAGGCTTTCTCTCCCAAGATTTAACATGTGTCATGTAGTTGGTTCATATGAGGACAGATGTATGATAGTATGACAGACAAATTTAGTTCTTTGTGCTTTATTTGTACCTAATAAGATGGGGACAATGGTTACCTTTTTTGTTTTTTTCTTTTTCAGAAAGATACCCATAAACAGTTTCATGACCACTCCAAGTTTCTCTAGCTATAGTAGAGGGTGATTGAGTGCCACTAGCCAGATTCTAATATTTTGATAGAAAAGACACTGGATCCTATGTTTGATTTTAGGTGGATAGTCGACCAGAAGGCTTTGGGGACTCCCGGGAGAAGGTTGTAGCATTTGGCTTCGATTACTGCTACTGGTCAGTCAACCCAGAGGATCCCCACTATGCATCTCAAGATGTGGTAATGTCATTTATCATTTTTCTTTCACTCTCCTCTGTCCTTTTTTATGTATAACATTTAAGATGTTTATTATAAAGATACTTTTCAAGATTATTATAGCACAGTTGTACAGATTGGAAGTCCTCTAATTGGTACTTTAAGAAAATTTCAATACAACTAACAGATTTCCAAAAGGAAGAAACTTCAATACATCAAGAAATCCTAGGCCGGGCGCGGTGGCTCAAGCCTGTAATCCCAGCACTTTGGGAGGCCAAGGCGGGTGGATCACGAGGTCAAGAGATTGAGACCATCCTAGTCAACATGGTGAAACCCCGTCTCTACTAAAAATACAAAAAATTAGCTGGGCATGGTGGCAGGTGCCTGTAATCCTAGCTACTCAGGAGGCTGAGGCAGGAGAATTGCTTGAACCCAGGAGGCGGAGGTTGCGGTGAGCTGAGATCGCGTCATTGCACTCCAGCCTGGGTAACAAGAACGAAACTCCGTCTCAAAAAAAAAAAAAAAAAAAAGAAATCCTTGGCCTTTTCAAATTATCATTTTCATGGTAGCATTAACAAAAGAAGCTTATTTCAAATGCAGTAATCTTATCGTGTATTTCCTCTGTTCTTCATAACTGAATAATCATTGAGAAATTAACATGAAATCTGAGCTCTGGCTATTTCTTAATAATACTTTGGTCTGAAACTAATTTTACACACACACACACACACACACACACACGTTTGTTTTTTGAGATGGAATTTCACACTTGTTGCCCAGGCTGGAGTGCAATGGCTTGATCTCGGCTCACCTCTACCTCTACCTCCCAGGTTCAAGTGATTATCCTGCCTCAGCCTCCCAAGTAGCTCTGATTACAGGCATGCACCACCAGGCCTGGCTAATTTTTTAATGTTTTTTTAGTAGTCTGGTCTCAAACTCCCAGCCTCAGGTGATCCACCTGCCTCAGCTTCCCAAAGTGCTGAGATTACAGGTGTGAGCCACCATGCCTGGCGGAGATTGAGTATTTCTTTCTTTCCTTTTGAGACAGTCTTGCTCAGTTGCCAGGCTGCAGTGCAGTGGTACAAGTTTGGTTCACTGCCACCTCCACCTCCTGGGTTCAAGCGATTCTTCTGCCTCAGCCTCCCGAGTAGCTGGGACTACAGGCACGTGCCACCACACCTAGCCAATTTTTGTATTTTTGTTAGAGACGGGGTTGGTCTCGATCTCTTGACCTTGTGATCCGCCTGCCTCGGCCTCCCAAAGTGCTGGGATTACAGGCATGAGCCACCGCACCATGCATGATTGAATATTTCTAAATCACAGAAGTATAATTACCCCATTCTTCTCTTTTGAAAACAACACATAGAAATAAAACCCTACACCACTGTGGGATTCGCTGACACAGTGGGCATCTTCTGTATATAAGTACCTCAACTTCGTAGTACTACTGTGTTTGCTGTAAATGCTCAGTACAGAAGGGCAGTGTGAATGTTACCTGGCCTCTGCTGAGTCTTCTCTGTCATTTCGAATATGAGAACAGGGGCCGATCTAGGCTTGTCATGTGGCCCTTGATTTTTTTTTCTTTTTTTTCCAATGAGTTCAGTGGTTTTTTTTTGCTAATGGCCCTTGATTTTTTATCCTAGCACTCTAATGTGTATGAGACATCTGGTTACTAGTGTTTGTAACCATTCCATTGAGTTACTCCAAGAAGAATCAGCAAAGTAACTTACTTTCAGTCAGAAAGATGGGACTCCTATAACAGTGCACATTTGTGACTATGTTTGTGGTGTAGAAGACAATGGCCTTCCCATTAGAAAATATGAGCATTCTGAACGCTGTTTCAGACTTCTGTGGCCATGGCATATGTGTGACTGTTCTGTTCATAAGAAGAATGAACTATTTTGTATAACATTTGATAAATCAGTCATCTTGGAGGGGGTGTGTATATGTGTTAGAACTTTTATATATGTCTGTGTGTGTGTATGTGTATATATCAATTAGTATCAATAAGCTTGAACATGAGTTTGGTTGTGAGGACCATATTTTACATTTATGTGGCTTAACTGTATAAACATCTAAAGAAAGACTGGGCATGGTGGCTCATGCCTGTAATCCCAGCACTTTGGGAGGCTGAGGCAGGTGGATCACAAGGTCAGGAGTTCAAGACCAGTCTGGCCAAGATGGTAAAACCCCATTTGTACTAAAAATACAAAAATTAGTTGGGTGTGGTGGCGGGCACTTGTAATCCCAGCTACTCTGGAGGCTGAGGCAGAGAATTACTTGAACCCAGGAGGCGGAGGTTGCAGTGAACCGAGATCACGCCATTATACCCCAGCCTGGATGCACAGCAAGACTGTCTCAAAAAAAAAAAAAAAAAAAAAATCTAATGAAAGCCCAAAAGGCCATAGAGGAGGGAAATTCATAAATATGATTCTTCTTTGGCCTGATTTGAAATTTAATGGAAACATCAAATGAGATCCAGACAGGAAGTCTGTGGAGAGAGATAAAACCAGTGACTCCTGAGGTTTCTTCTGGCTTGTTTATTAATTGTCTAGTCCCTCATCAGTCCCAGGAGGAGTCAGGATAGGAAAGAGAAGGGAGGGAACCTCTATCACAAGCTGGAGTAGAGCCAGATGTCCCAGAATGGTGACAGGACCTATAGCTACATGATACACTCAGAGGACCTCATTGCTTTAACACAGAAATTGGAGCTCAGATTTAACCCTAATCACTATGATCATATGGCTCTGAGGCCACCACAGGTAGGAAAGGTGGAATCCATACAATCTCAGGACTTGGGGTGGGAAAGAATTGAGATATAATCCAGTTTATCCTCTCCACAGCATTTTTTTTTTTTTCTTTTGAGACAGAGTCTTGCCCAGTTACCCAGGCTGGAGTGCAGTGGTACCATCTTGGCTGACTTCAACCTCTGCCTCCGGGTTCAAGTGATTCTTGTGCCTCAGCCTCTTGAGTACTGAGACTACAAGGCGTGCAGCGTGCACCACCATGCCAAACCGATTTTTGTAATTTTAGTAGAGATGGGGTTTCACCATGTTGGTCAGGCTGGCCTCGAACTCCTGACCTCAAGTGAACCACCCATCTCAACCTCCCAAAGTGCTAAGATTACAGATGTGAGCCACCTTGCCCAGCCCTCCACAGCATTTGTGATCACATTTTGAGGGGAGAGGTCTATTGAAGTATAATTTAGATATAGTAAAAGATTTGCCTTTTTTTCTTTTTTAACAATTTATTATTTTTTAATAGACACAGGGTCTTGCTGTATTGTCCAGGCTGGTCTTGAACTCCTGGGCTCAAGCAATCCTCCCACCTTGGCTTCTCAAAGTGTTGGAATTATAGGCATGAGTCATCACACTTGGCCAGATTCACCTTTTTAGTGTACAGTAACACATTCAGATGTGTAACTGACACTACAATCAGTATACAAAATAGTCTACCATCCCAAAAATTGCTTCATGCTCCTTTATCATCTATTTCCCAAGCCCCTAGAAATTACTGATCTGTCTTCTATCCCTACAGTTGCATCAGTTTCAGAATGTCATATAAATGGAATCAGACTATGTAGCTGTTTTAGTCTGGCTTTTTTCATTTTGCATGATGTATTTGAGATTCATCTTTTTTTTTTCTTTTTTTTTGAGACGGAGTTTTGCTCTTACTGCCCAGGCTGGAGCACAGTAATGCAGTCTTGGCTAAATGCAACCTCCGTCTTAGGGTTTCAAGTGATTCTCCTGCCTCAGCCTCCTGAGTAGCTGGGATTACAGATGCCCACAATACTCCCAGCTAATTTTTGTATTTTTAGTGCAAACTGGATTTCACTGTGCTGGCCAGGTTGGTCTCAAACTCCTGACCTTGTGATCCACCTGCCTCGGCCTCCCATAAATGCTGGGATTACAGACATGAGCCACCACATCGAGCCAAGATTAATCTTTACTGTTGTGTGTGTCACGTCTTCTAACCTTGATTTTTTTTTTTTTTTTGGAGATCGGGTCTCGCTCTGTCACCCAGGCTGGAGGAAGGTGGCACAATCACAGCTTACTATAGCCTCAGCTTCCGGAGCTTGAGTGGTCATCCCACTTCAGCCTTCTGAGTAGCTGAGACTACAGACATGGTGCCACCATGCCTGGTTAAGTTTTAAATTTTTTGTAAACATGTGGTCTCACTGTATTGCTCAGGCTGATCTCAAACTCCTGGGCTCAAGAGATCTGCCTGCATCAGCCTCCCCATATTCTGTTATTACAGGTGTGAGCCACCACACCTGACCTTCTTGATTCACATTTATTTATTGAGATGTAGTCTCACTCTGTTTGTTGCCAGGCTGGAGTGTAGTAGTGCGATCTCGGCTCACCGCAATCTCCTCCTCCTGTGTTCAAGAGGCTTTCCTACCTCAGCCTCCCAAGTAGCTGGGACTATAGATGCACACCCCACGCTAAGCCAATTTTGTATTTTTAGTAGAGACAGCGTTTTACCATGTCGGCCTGGATGATCTCGATTTCCTGACCTTGTGATCTGCCTGCCTTGGCCTCCCAAAGTGCTGGGATTACAGGCGTGAGCCACTGCGCCCAGATAATTCATACTTATTTAAATCATCTGCTCTCCCAAAAGGAATCTCATGGCTTGGAAGAACAGATTCTAACTGCAAAGGATGAGAAACCAAGTCCCTGGAGTACAGTGTGTCTTTCATCTCTAGGTCTCTTCTTGTTACAAAGGAAATTTTGCTCAGAAATACAGCACTGATTTCAGATATCAAAATATCTGTGGGAAATACCTAAATTTTCCTTAGTAGATGTGGAGGGAGATCTAAATATCTGACTTTAGAGGGATTTAGAGCAACATCAATAATAAGGAGCCATTCAGAGACAGATGTTGACAAGAATGTCACCTGATCATTGTTGGTGCTTGTGTCAGTTTTGTGTTAAAAAGAAATACCTGAGGCTTAGTAATTTGTAAAGAAAAGAGGCTTATTTGGCTCACATTTCTGCAGGCTGTACAGGAAGCATTGTGCCAGT